TATTAAAACAATCTGTACAATCATGTCATATAAAAGTAGATAGCAATGTAAGTCACTACAATAGTATGCACGCACAAGGTCGATTTTGGAGAAAAATAATTTTGAGTGGAGAGTGAGTGCCGTCGGGGTTGGGTTGGAGCAACGGTGATGTGTTGCGAAGCTAGGTTTGCTTCGAACATTTTATCTGCGGCCATTGCCATTTCAGCCAAATAACTGCTGCAAAGGAGGAATAAAACTTCCCCGATGCGTGGAGGGAGAAGCTTCAACCAAAGCTGGTCGAGGATGGCGTCATCTAGTACGCGGGTACCGAGGAGTTGCCGCATGTGTCACGACAAGTGGGACGGGGTGCGGTCGCCGATTTTGAAAAACTCTCACAACTCATCCAATCGAAGTTCATCCGACCCAGCTGTGCGGGTGATTACCGCTTCCTTCAACTGAATGTATGAGTCATTCTTGGGCATAGTAATGATAAATTCAATCGCCTGTTCCGCAATGTATGTGGGCAGGGAAATTACTATGTGGGAATGCATAATCGTTTGGGAGCGGATGCCGTGGGCATGGAAATGGGCTTCGGCTTGGGCGAACCACAACCGAGGGTTGTTATTACCGAATGCGGGCAATTTGATGTGAGAAGACACGGGAAGGTCCTCTATGTCCAACTTTGATTGATCCATATTTAACACGTACAGTAAACAAAAAAAGTAAAATAAAGTGAAATTCCTGAAGAACCTGGGGTACCGTAGAAAAATATGAAACTAGAGATAATCGAAACATGGACTCACTAATGCTTCAGCAACACTCGGAGAACACGTCCGCAGTTACGAACAAAATTTGCATTGTGTTCTTACTTGTTGTGCATATTAAAACAAGCTGTACAATCATGTCTTATAAAAGTGGATAGAAAAGTAAGACACTGCAGTGTTAGGCCTTCATGGTTGTCTCCTGCAAAAAAGAGAGCGCTAAGGAAAGGATGCGAACGCTGGAGATGCTACAGAGATGTCAACACTCAGCTGCCATGAGGGTACTACACAGTCAAGAGGAATGGGTTAATGAGTCTTATAAGGGCAGATAAAATTACATATGGAATGAAGCTTGCAGCAAAATTCGAGTAACAAAGGAAACGTTTCCATGGAACCGACTAATTGAAACGCATTTGGGAGATGCCTTGGATGCATTGGTGCAGCATGGGAACACCATTGCAGTAGACGAAGAAAGCGAGAAAATAAAACTAAAGAAGTATTTCGCGAGCGTTCATAGGTTGAAAAACCTAACATTAGAACTTAGAGCTACGAAGTCCCTTCCACGGAGCCTAAGAGAGATGCGAATTTCTGCAGCAGGTTTTCAAAAAGGGTTAGGGGAGTTGGAAATAAATAAGACCCTTTATACCATGGCGTATAACCTGCATTGTGAAACCACTTGCGTGAATTTTGATAGCCCACTTAAGAGTGCTTTTTCGTAACATTTTCTAGAGGTTGACTGCGGTTGACTGAAAAACTGCGGTTGTTGGGGCTTCACACTAAGACGGCAATAGGACTAATGTACAACACTACAGACTCGCGAGCTCGACTACTATTCTATGTAAGTGCATGGGAAAGCTTATCAGAGCGCATGTCTGTAACCCTTGCTGAGATTATGCTTTACTAAGCGACGCTCAACACGGCTTCAAGAGAAACAGGTCTTTCCTGACTAACGTGTTATGCTACCCTGACTAGGTTAAGGAACCACAGGAACATCATGTATGGCAGAATTTCTGACAACTAAGACATTCTGCGTTGGGGTAGGAGAACAAACATAATTACTCCTCCAGGTTATTTGTGACGTGCCAAAAGTGCGGGTGTTAGATCAACTTCTACTTCTTTTTTATCAGTTATCTAGTAGAATTTACCGGCCCACTAACCTTCATCTTCAAAGACGATGTAACGGAGGTTGTATCTATTGGACGAGCAGACCTCGAACATGACTCAACAAGCGGTCAATCGGTCCCACACATGGAATCCGCCACTAAACGCATCTAAGAATCAGTTGTTTTCGAAAACCCAGGATTCATCATAGGCTGAAGGAGATTGAAGTAGGCACTGTAACCAGCGCCAGGGATCTGGGAGTAACCTATGTGAAGCTGCAGCGCACACAGCATACGCCAGGTGTTTCGACTAAGGTTAGCAGTTTCGTATAGATAAACAGAAGTGTTTGCATCTATCTTGAAAGCCATTGTAAGGCCTCATCTAGAGAATTGTGTTCGGGCTTGGTAGTTTATCTAATAAAAGGACGCATCGTGCCTGGAGAAGGTTCAGAGGCTACGAACAAGGACATTAGGGGGTCTGAGATGCAACTCATGTAAGGAAAGGTTTTGCGAGCTTGATCTTTTTCATGAGCAAAGGGGGGTGCTTGGGGATCTTACAGAAGTGTTCAAAGTCAAGAAAATGATGCTGAGTTTGGATCCAGGGGCCATCGAGGCTCCCCACCAAGGTGGGCTTAGTCATGAACTCAGAATTATGAAACTGCGTTCTGGGCTGCATCAACGAACACAATCCTTTGGTAATAGGGTAGTGGATAAGTGGAATAAACTATGAAATGAATTGATGAACCAACCAAATGGTCTAGCATTCAACATAGCCCTGGACAGCAGGCGGTTAAAAGCTTTCTCAGACTTAAATTGTGAGGTTTTAAAGTATTACACGGTTGCGAGGCCAACCCCAATGGTCCCGGATCTTACTGGTTTAGAAGATTTCTTCTGGTCTGGCGTTCCGATTAACCGGGTCGTGTCAAGGCTGCACTTCGGCGGTCTTTGGATAATTAGAGTAATTCTGCGACCTGTTTTTTTTCAAAAAGGTTACCTGAAATCGGATACGAGTGAGGTAGAGGAGTACAGTAACTGCATGCAGTGCGACACAGTGGAAAATTCAGGAAAAATTTACGAAACATTAATAACACCATGTGACGGAGGAATGTTTACCGTTCTTGGATCAGGTCAAGATAGAGGTCTAGATTCGGTTTGAAAGCGGATTTTATGGGGGCATTAATGACTTCTTGGGGGAGGCTATTTCATAGAGGAATAGCTCTGTGGGTGAAAGAGCACTGTTGGACTAGCATACGGGTGCGCGCTTGAAGAATTTCATGCCGTGCCTGTGAAAGTTATCCATGCGAGTGCGCAAGAAGAAGTCATCGATCCTGTCGGGCTTGAAGAGATTGTACAATAAAAGGATGTCATCTCTTATCCGGTGGGATTCGAGGGGGTACAGATTCAAGAAGGAAAGATGCAAAGTGTAAGGGGTGGATAACAAGCTATGCACAAGCTTTTTCGCTCCTCGTTGTACACGCTCACCAAGCGGGAGTGAG